CTTTCAAAGCATCCAAAATATACAAGACCTCCTGAGCTCCCTTGGGTCCTTCACCCGCATCTGCATTTGACCCACCAGCAAGCAGAAGAAACCTTTCAAATAAGTTAGTAACCCCTTCACTTGCAGGGGCGAGCAGCGGTGTTCCTTGAAAACTTTGCAGTACATCACGAAGACACAATTGTGATTGTCTTCTCACCTGTGTGAGAATACAATTAGCATAAAAATAAGTACATTATAAAGTAGACATCTAAAACACCAAATAAAAATTAAAACTTCAATCCATTTTATAGAATCTACATTACAAATATCAGAAATGAAATGAATTCTATGATAACCGATCAACATTAAAGAACAAATAAAATGTGAGCAATTCACCTTAGGGCGGGAATCTGTAATAAAGCTCAATAAGAAGCCATACAATGAAGAAACATCAGACCAGTTGACACGGCCTCTGATGATGAGCAGATGCGATATGCATTTCAATCCTGAGACGGCGGCCCCCACTGTCAAAGACGGAGACCGCAGAACACGGACCAAGAGCTCCGATAGGAACTCGGACTTCTTCACGAGAATTGCGGCCGAGACTTTTTGAAAGACAATGGAGAGAATTGTGAGGAGGGCGTCGATCACATGAAAGGGAGGCTCGGGCTGGGAGGAGAGGCCGTCGAGAGAAGAGCACGTGAAGCCCAAGTAGGCGACCGGGGTCGAAGGGAGTTTCTTGTCTTTGAGCTCCTGAGCCATGGCGCCTATGGCTGCGCAGAGGTGGTGGTGGTCCTCGCGCGTGGAATTGCTGAAGCGCGTGAGGATTGAGGTGCAGATGTCGTCGTCTTCGATTAGGGGAAGAGTGTAACCGTCGTCCATTTCGATGCCTTCCATGTTGGGCGGGGATTGGCGAGTTGCAGAAAAACCCTAGCTTCAATGAATTCAAGAGGTAGCTAGGGTTTATGGACAATAGTCGAGAGTGAAGAAGGAGACTTCGGCCCAGTTAGAATTGGCCGGTTCATACCCTGAGTCCGTGAAGCGAACAACCGACATTCGTTCCACCCCTTTGGGCTGAACGGTTTATATTTTACTGGGCCGGGTCGGACGCGTTGCCCCGAATATAACCCTCCTTTTTTTAGCCCTTTCTTTTTCCTTTTCTAGGGCCATGTGTGATTATGGTGATATCAACTTACTGGACTTTCATAACAAAATTAGCTCTAGTTATTGTTAAATGCATCTTTGAACTCCAAACAGTGTAGATTTTCTTTGTGTGGGCCCAGCCCTTGATCGAACGACTTAAGTCAATTGATCCCTTGTGTTCTCAGGAAGAAGAGAGCATTGACCATACCTTTTCAAAAGCTGCCATTTTGCTACTTCAGTTTGGTCACATGCGTTCTGGTTGTCCCAGTCCCCAACACTTTCAAAAGCTCCTCCATTTTTTTATATACAAACCATAAAGTTTGGTCCCTAAATATTCATGATGCCCCATAACTTTTCCTAATCATTACTGAGCTTTGTGATCAAAATTATTTTTTCATGAACCAACACAGAATTTTTTAGGCATATGAGCTACAACAAAGAAATAATACAATTGTATAAGTGGGTTTGGCCAATTAATTAAAGTAATAAGTTTACCCCTCGTACCCGATTTTCATTTCGATTAGATTAATTTAGAATATAATGATATGAGTTCTATTACAATTACAGTAGTTCAGAATATTGACGTGTTTTTTAACATTGTTCTTTATCACGTAATTCAAGTGATAACTAAGAGACAAAAAGGACATCAATAGTTAATTTGATAGCCTTTTAATTTTAGATAAAACATGACATGATACACTATGAGGAAGAGTTTATACACGCAGCAGCCGATGAGATCATACGTACAACTTTTTATAAATAAAAAATAAAAATCGAAAGTAAAAAACAAAAAAGTACGAACGAACTACACACGCTATAGATAACGCCCGGTGAAACAGAATCACGGCCGTCCATCGCCATCATCATAATCATCAAGGTTTAGATCTCGGCCGACCACGGCTTTCATCGAGGCGGTTGATCAGGTACAGCGCATTGCTAGTAACCCTAGCCGCATTCGTAACCTTGCGCTTCATATCCGCCTTCACCTTCACCTTCACCTTCACATCAAGCTCCTCAAACCCATCAAGACACGTGTCGTCATCTGTGAGGGCCGCGCTGACCCAAGTCTGGGCGTTGCTCATCTGAAACCGAAACGTTTCGGCGTGGAGGTGCTTCAACTCGTCGAGCGTCCGGGTTAACTCGTCCACGGACTCGGACATGAGGTCGATGCAGTCGCTGAGCGCGGAACGCTCTCGTTTTGTTCCCTGGTCGGAGTTGGAGAGTTGGGCGAGGTAGCCGGAAACGCGGCGGGCTCGTGAGAGGCTGACGTTGACGGCGGCCTGGGCCAGGTCGCGAGGGGTGTTTGCGGGGCCCGCGTAGGTGGAGAGAGAGTGAATGCAGAGGTTGGGGTAGCTAGCGTGGCTACATGACGAACGGACGAGATGGGATGAGTTGATTGGGTTGTTGTGTGGGTTGTGTTTCCGCGCGGCGGCGGAGTAGGGTAGGCAGTGGAGGAGGAGGAGGAGGAGCGGGAGGAGAGAGAGTAGGAAACGCATCGTTTTGATGTGTAATGGTGGAAGATCTGAGGTAGACAGAGAGAGATAAGGGTGAGGGGGAGTAGAGTGAAGAATAGTGTGAGTGCAAGTATGTGTTGGGGTGGTTGGTTGGATGGATGTCTGATGTGATTATGTTTAACTAATTGATGGGCGCGCCAACGGTTGGTTTTATAGGGGTATGTGTGGTTTATTGGGGGGCAAGGCTACGAAAACAAACCCCTCTTTGAGATAGGAAAAGATTAATGTTAGGGAACCATATTATTTTATTTTTAATTGATAAATAAAATATAAGAAATATATTAACAATTGAACAAAATTATGCTTGTTAATTTTGAGTCGAACGAAATTAGAGAGGCTTGTAGCTCAAATCGTTAAGAATAATTATCTTGCATTCAATTTCCTATGTTCAAGTTCCTCTCTTTCAATTTCGCTTGTGTCAAACAAATGTATCAAATGCTTTGTTAATCAATCTTTCCATCCTTTGATTATGTATAGTTAACTAACTCCTTATCTATGGTGAAAGCAAACCTAAACACAGTCACGTTAGTTTACCTTTTGTCATATTGACTTTGGTTAATCTTTGGGTTGAAGATATGGATGGTATTTATTCCATCCACCCCTATAATTGAACCGACCCATGTATTTTCGTGGTATAGACTCATCGCTATCTATGCACTATTTTTGGGACGAATAATTTAATGACACCCGTCATCATTATTATTTTTTAGTGGTAAAAAGTTTTATTTTATTTGTATTACTAGTTTATCCGCACGCGCTTCAGCGCCTGTGAGAGACTTTTTTTTTAAAATGAAATTTATTTTTGAATTAAAAATAATAATTGATAGTTGTGTTCCATAAAAATAGAATTCATTATCTAATTTTTCTTTTAATTTTAATTTTTTTTATATGAAAAAGTGTGAACTTACTATATTATCCTCATTTAATTAATAATTTTAAATCTTAATGTTTGGATTAATCAAAAGCATTTTCTGGTATTTTTAATGTTTCACAATTCTCTGTCTTTTGCTTTATATATATATATATATATATTATGAGAAAAAAAAAAGTGAGAGGAGAGAGGAGGGAGTTTATTTTCCTCTTTAGGGATAATCATCAAAACAAATGAAAACAAAAAAAATAACAAAAGCAATGGATTTTTTTTATTTTTTTTTATTTTTTTGAGAAATTCAAATGAGTTATTTACACTAACACTATCTAATATGTTTGGCTTTTTCACAAAACTCCTTGAGGTTTCAGAAATTACACAAACATCCTCAAGATTTTAATTTGTTTTCAGAAAATTTATATTTATTGATTTTTCTTCCAAAGGTTAATAATTTTATACAAAAAAAAAATCTTCAAATAACAAAGTTACATTTTAGATTAGATTGCATATACATTCATTGAGGTTAATTTCATTATTTGCATAAGCATTTTTTCAATGTAATCATTAATTTTTAGACGAACAATAAATAAAAATAGGTTTTGTAAAAACAAACTTAAACCTGAACGTTCATATAATTTTTGAGACATAAGGAGATTTTATAAAAACACCAAATAGCTCGAAAAGTGGTAGTTTAAATATCTCAATTCAAATCCCCTAACCAAACAACACATCTTGTCAAACATCTTTTCTTTGTATTTCTTATAGGCATAGGCAGTCTAATTACAAATTTACGCACCCCCATTTGTGGCTATTTTGGCCAAGTGTTTGGGACCTGTCGAGGGCTCTGAATAAATGCACCACAAGTTATCAACCTATCACTAACCAACATGCAAACATATATTTATTGACGAATAATAAAAGTCCTCAACCATGTTTCAGTGCATGCTCCTCAATATTTTTCAATGAGGTGGCATTCAAATAAATTTGGAGACCAAACAAAACAATCGTAAAATATGTCATTTTGTTAAACAATCACGAATGACTTAAACTTGGATTATTCTTTCCAGCAGAACCCCAAAAAAAAAAAAATAATAATAATAAAAAAGTCATTTTCTTAAACCATCATCACGAATGACTTAACACATGGATTATTCTTTGGCTTGTACGGTTGTAACTTGTATATATATAAACTCACTAAAAGATCTATTTTCAGAGGCGGAGTCAGAAAACTCTTTTTTGAACCAAGAAGTCTAAATATCCTAGTTGGGGGACATCACCATAATAACGTACATAGATCGATATGAAGGAGCAAAATTTATTTGCAACGAGAATAGTAGTGTTTTGCTATCTGCTACCAATACCATTATTCTATGTGGAAGTATTATTATACGTGTCATAATGTTATTTATCGGGAATAACAAAATGATGTTATTTATCCCCGTTTCAAGGACATTTTTCTCCATTTTTAAGCCTGCATGTGACTCCATAATTATTTGTATCCATACCATAACCACTTTCCAAAGAAAAATAATCCGTATGTAAGATTAATTGACATGATTTAACTTATTGGAAAAATGTTTTATTACCAAACTTTTTGTTCATGTTGATTTTTTTTATTTACTTCGATTTATAGTTTGACAATATAAGTATTTGGTTAAAAGAATAATACCAGCAAGCTAAATGCCCGTTTGACATTGCTTATTTGATGTGATAAGTGATTTTTTTAAAATTTGGGAAGCCCAACCCGTTTGGTAAACTATGATAAAATCACTTATTGTTAAAAATTGTTGTGAGAGAAAATTATAAAGGAAAACAGCTAATGAGATACTTTTATTTTCTGATTATGCATGAATCAATTTTGAAGAGACGCTGAGTTTAATGATTATACGGGAATCAATACCAACAATGATTTTAACAAAAAGTTCACCAAACTCCAAATTGCTTTCTCTCACAGCAAATATGAAAGCGATTATTTTTACAGCACAACAATGTCAAACTGGCCTAAGCCCACCCTCAATTGGTATTGGAGGGCATGAAATGAAGCTACATATAGTATATAGTGTAAGTATAGGGGCCTGTGATTTAATGCGCATCACCAAACGGAACCAATTATATTTTATAATAGTGAGAGTGAGAAATCAAAAGCAACTCCTTTGCATGCCAGTTTGATGGAGTGATTGAGTGGTTGTTTGATTGGCAAACATGGGTCCCCTTACCCATGAATTATTATTAGCAGCAGAAAACCGATAAGAAACACACTTTTGTGAGCCCAACAGCCTTTCCCATGAATTTGACATCGCAAGGGTTAAGTTCTGAAACACAGCATGTGAAATGCAGTCTGGAATTGCATTGTGACATAATGCCTACCCCACACTATAAATTGCATATGCAATTTTCTCTCTTGGGTTTCTCCCTCCCCTCTCCTGGTAAAAACATTTGACAGCACGGGCACGGCAGCTCTTCCAGCAGGCCCAGTTGAGTTCAAAATGTGTGGCGCACGACGTGTTTGATAAAATGCCAGAGTGAGCGAAATTAGGTTTGTCTCTGGAGTGTGGATATGGTAAGGGGTCTACCCACGTGAAGCTGGATTGCGAGCAGTTGGGGCTTTTGGCCCAATTGGAGAATACGGGCTTCACAATCCCCACCATTAAATTTGTGGACCCATTTTCCTGATGCATACACAGTAACAAAAATTCTATATTGAGGGCTTATATGTGCCCTTAGGTGAGGTCTTATTTCTTAACCGTTAAATTAGGCTAATCAATTTGATTCACCAACTATGAAAGCTAAGACCCTATGGACCCTTGGATGATATATGATATCATATCCATGAGCTGGTAACATATAGTAAGATTGTAATGAGGGATTATAATGGTGGGGTCTTTGATAAATAAATTCCTCAAATTAGACGGCTAGATTGAATCTCTCAAAACACCTTCTTAACATTGCCCCTCATTATCAAAGCGCCTGATAACATAAGGTGTCGAGTATTATATAGGAAATTGGTCATAGTATTTTTTATTTATCTTTCCTTAATTTACAAGTTAGGATTTCACACCAGCTTGCTGAGAACAGGTTTGAGGTGTTCATGAAGACTTATTGGTGATAATACAAGTGTAGCAGTGTAACATATGGCTGTAGTTGGGTGTGGTTTTGGTGGGAAGCCCAACAAGCTTAGGTTGCTATCAATTGTACATGTACAACCTCTTGCCTGGAATCCATCAAGCATATAATTCAGTACACACATAAAAGGATAGCAAATTTGGCGCATACGGTACATGTGCAGTTCTATTATGCAGGATGTACTGTTGAAAATACTAAGAAATTTATCATCTCCCATGTCCATGTTACACAACTACTAAACCACAAAAGGTTTAAGATGTGCTTCAAGATTATGAACTAATTAATGCATGCTTTTGCTAACTATAAACATAATATTGAGGAGAAATTTTTGCAACTTCCGAGTACACTGTGTACCATACAATATACATAGAACATGTGGTTTGAACTTTCCAACTTACTGCACTTTTTTTTTTATAAATAAAAATAAAATATTTCCATATGTCCCACCTTCAACATGCAAAAATTCTAACTCCAAGCCTTCTACCTTGAGAGTTAGTAGTTTATTTTTCTACGCACCCATTCCCTGAGTAATGGTTGGTGCCTTGGTCATCATTGATGCGGGTCTCACCAGTCAAAGATTGTTCATAATGATGTGTTATAACTTATAGTTATTTTTCTTAAGTTGTGTCACATATATACAAGAAGTGCATGATTTTTCATTAAAACTGCTATGAACCCATCATTCTTGCGCCTACATGCACTCATCTTTCCCAACAGGTCCTACATACTACAAGGACCATTTGTTAAACATAATTGTCAATATGTAGGCGACTTGAAACCATTTGATTGATTGTTAAGATTCTTTATATAATTATATTATATATATATAAAATAATTTCTCACAACAATCAACATTATTAGTAAGATCAGCGGAGATTTGCTAACCGGATTTAGTTAAGTTAAAAAAGACATTGACATTATAGTTGTGTGTGGGAAAAATCATCTTCCGCTATAATTTAAACTATCACTTGTATTAAAAAAAAATAAAAAATAATGTTGCGATTAATTAATCAAATAGAATAAAGTTAATGAAGCTGCTTCAGCCTTACTTACCATTTTATAATTGCATATCTAGTCAGATAAATGGTTATTAATTGATATAGTACCACCAAACACAACCGC